CTCTCGCCAGAGTTGGTCTCGGAGATCTTCTCCTCTTGCTCGCCCTCGTCCTTGAACGAGATCATCTCGTCGTTCGCGCCCAGGTCGTCACCCCCGCCGCCGTTCAGCTGCGGCATCTTGCCGGTGGTGGCGTCTTGGCTCTCCGTTATGACTTCTGTTAGTCTTCTTCTTCTCCACCACCTCCTCCTCCACCACCTCCTCCACCTCTTCTCCTCCTCCTAACTCCGTCTCTCCGATCGTCCGCCCGCCTGTTGTTGCGTCTGTGTGTTGTTGTTGTGTCTCTGGCGCGTGTGTGTGTGCTGTTGTGTGTCCGCAGCCGTGCCGACACGAGGTCCCGGCTGCTGTGCGAGTGAGTGATGGGACTGGGCGAGGCGGGCTCAGTCCCCGATGCGAACCTCCTCCCATCGGCTCCAGCGCCGGCCCGCCTCCTCCTCTCCAAGCTCCCTCCTCTTCTTTCCCTCCTCCCTCTCACTACGCCCCCCCTCCTCCTGCATCTCCTCCTCCACCACCACCCTCCCCATCACACTCCGCGAGCTGCACTTACACACACACACGTGTGTAAGCGTCGTGTGTGTGTGTGGTGTGCGTGGGTGGTGTGTCTCGTGTGTGTGTAAGTGTCGTGTGTGTGTAAGTGTTGTGTGTGTGTGTAAGCGTCGTGTGTGTGTGTGTGGTGTGCGTGGGTGGTGTGCCTCGTGTGTGTAAGTCTCGTGTGTGTGCAAGCGTCATGTGTGTGTGGTGTGCGTGGGTTGTGTGTCTCGTGTGTGTGTGTAAGTGTCGTGTGTGTGTGTAAGTGTCGTGTGTGTGTAAGCGTCGTGTGTGTGTGTAAGCGTCGTGTGTGTGTGTGTGTAAGCGTCGTGTGTGTGTGTGGTGTGTGTGTAAGCGTCGTGTGTGTGGTGTGCGTGGGTGGTGTGTCTCGTGTGTCTGTAAGTGTCGTGTGTGTAAGTGTCGTGTGTGTAAGTGTCGTGTGTGTAAGTGTCGTGTGTGTAAGTGTCGTGTGTGTAAGTGTCGTGTGTGTGTAAGCGTCGTGTGTGTGTGTAAGCGTCGTGTGTGTGGTGTGTGTGTAAGCGTCGTGTGTGTGGTGTGCGTGGGTGGTGTGTCTCGTGTGTCTGTAAGTGTGTGTGTGTGTATGTGCAAGTGTCGTGTGTGTGTATGTGCAAGTGTCGTGTGTGTGTATGTACAAGTGTCGTGTGTGTATGTGCAAGTGTCGTGTGTATGTGTAAGTGTCGTGTGTGTGTAAGTGTCGTGTGTGTAAGTGTTTTAGTGTGAAGTGTGTGTGGTGTGTAAGGTGTAAGTGTGTATGTGGTGTGTAAGTGTGTGTGTGGTTTGTAAGTGTGTGTGTAAGTATGTGTAGTCCGGCAAAACAACCTCCTACCTCCTCGCGGTGCCGGACAGGCAACTCTGTCGTGGACACTGCTGTGGGGGGAGGGCCAATTCCGATTGGCCCCTCCCCTCATGGCGTTTATGACCACCACAGGGGCTAAACGGGTGCTCTGGACGGGTGCGAGGGGCTGGTAACCCCTCCACCTTCAAAAATTTACCACTAAACCACGTCTAAAATATCTAACTAATAAGCTTGTGCTGGAGGCCCCGGGGGGACAGGCGTCTATGACGTCTCCTGGCCAAACCCCAATTGGCGGAGCCAGGAGATTGAATCTCTACCCTCGGGGCTCCTCCAGAAACAACAAAAAGCCACTTCGTGTGGCCACGTGCAATGTTCGAACGCTCACTGCGGAGGAGAGGCTGCCACTCCTCTGTCGGGAGCTGGACCGGTACCGCCTGGATCTCTGTGGCATTCAGGAGGTCCGGTGGACCAGTTCTGGCTCCTGCCACCATGAGGGGTGGACAGTCCTCTACTCGGGGCAGCAGACTGACAAACAACAAGGGTGTGGCTCTTTTAAACAAAAGAATGAAGGGGGCGTGGGAGCATGGCGGTGAGGTGTAGGAAGCTGTAAGCCCCAGGCTTCTTTGGGCTCGCCTTCCCATCAATCGGAGGCGAGGAGTGGTGGTCGTGGTTACTTATGCCCCCACCGAAGACGAACATCCATGGAGGGATGCAGGCAAAGCCGATGAGTCAGATGCCTTCTATGACCTCCTGTCACAGGTGCTGGCTAAAGTAGCCCCTCGGGATAGAGTCATCATGTTGGGTGACTTCAATGCCCGAGTTGGTCATGATGCTGGCACCTGGTCTGGAGTGATTGGAAGGCATGGGCCAGATCAGCTCAATAACAACGGTAGGAGGCTGCTAGATTTTGTGCAGCCCATGGGCTTGTAATTACCAACACGCTGTTCCGGCATCGGCGCATCCACACAACATCATGGATGCATGCCGGGTCCAAGCAAGAACATCTGCTGGGCTACATAGTGACGGACCAGCGGATGCGAGCCCATGTCCTTGACACCAGGACCTACCGTGGAGCTGATCTGCCCTCTGACCATCGACTTGTCATCTGTAAGATGCGCCTGCCATTCTTCCGCTCCGGTGGTGGGTGTACACCCAGGACCCCATTCCAACCTAAAGTGGCCTGGTCTCAGTTATCTGATGAAAGTTGCAAGCGAGAATTTCATCATCGCCTGCGGCTGGGGTTGGCATCGTCCCCCACTCCTCCTGATGTCGAGGGTAAATGGGCGAGGTTTAGGACTGTCACTCATGCAGCTGCATTGGCTGCTTTGGGTACGTGGTCCAGACCTCCCCAGAGACCCTGGCTGACAGAGGAGGTGTTGAGGAGGTGTTCAGGATGGTTGAGAAAAAGTGAGAGGCCCACTGTCATCGGCTACAGAATCCCACGTCAGAGAATGAGGAGGATTACCGCAGCCTTCGCTCGGAGGTTTGGAGAGCCGTGAGGCGCTGCAAGGATTTTTGGTGGTAGCGGGTTGCTGATGAGATGGAGTCTGCCTCAGTGGCCCGCGATCACAAATCTCTATTTAACTCCATAAAAAACGTAACCTGCAGCTCCACACCTATTACCATCATTATGGGAAAAAACGGTGATCCAATCTCCGACCCCCAGGAACAGGTTTGCAGATTTGCTGAGCATTTCTGTGAGGTCCTGGGGGAAGGAAAATCCCTCAGCCAGGAAAACATCTTGGTACAAAGTGAGGATGACCCTGCTGAGGCTGCGGTGCCTCAAATATTGATAGAAGTTCACCCCCTGTGAGTGGCTGGCTGAAGTGCCATCTGTTGAGGAAGTACTGAAGGCGATCTGGAGTCTGAGACCAGGAAAGGCAGCGAGCAGAGATGATCTCCCAAGCGAAATGCTGAGGGAGGGTGGCGTTTGTGCACAGACTGCCCTATATGACATCATAACAACAGTCTGGACCACTGGACGGGTTCCGCAGGATTCGAAGGATGCCCTGGTGGTCCCCCTCTTTAAGAAGGGGGCCCGCACAGACTAACAACTACAGGGGCATCTCACTCCTCAGTGTGCCGGGAAAGGTCCTGGCAAGGATTATTCAACATCGCCTTGCCAGGCACGCTGAGGAGAGGCTTGCGGAGCCCCAATGCGGTTTCAGGAATGGTTGGTCCTGCACAGATGCCATATTTTTTGTTCATCTGCTACAGCAGAGATGTAGGGAATTCCAGCAAGACCTACATCTCTGCTTTATTGACCTGGTCAAGGCCTATGATGCCATCAGTAGGCCTGGGCTCTGGGTTGTTCTTCGTGCTTTTAGAGTACCTGACCCTCTGCTCACGATCATTAAGGACCTTCATGATGGTGAGCAGGCCTGGGTAAAACTACGTGGCCGGGAGTCAGAGCCATTCCCTGTACACCTTGGGGTGCGACAGGGATGTCCTCTGGCTGCCACATTATTTAACATCTCTTTTGACCACGTAGTTCGTGAAGCCTTCAATAGCTGTACCGGGGGAATCTCCATATGGTACAGATATAATGGGAGGCTGATCGATGCCCGGGTGCGGTCAAGGGATGGCTCCCTATTTGCTCAACCACGTTATGTATGCCGATGATTTGGTAATAGCTGCTCATTCAGAGGAGTTGGAGACGCTGCTGCTGAGACTGGAGCGTGCCACTAAGAGATGGGGCCTTACCATCAGCCCCACCAAAACTAAGCATCTGCCTGGGTATTTTGTACCATCGGACACTCCACCCCCACAATTCCCAATCGGTGATGGGCAGTTGTGGAGAGAGTGGAGAGTTTCCCATACCTGGGCAGTGTGCTTATGACCGGCTCCAGTTTAACAGCAGAGATCTCACTCCGAATCAGTCGAGCGGCAATATCTTTTCATCGGTTGCGTAACGCTGTGTGGAAGCTACCTGGCCTGTCGCTCCGCACTAAGCTTCAGGTCTTCTCAGCCACGGTCATTCCCTTCCTTCTCTACAAAGGTCCCATCGGTGAGCTCCTCCGGCAGGCAAGGCTGCGTTGGCTGGGTCATGTAGCCCACATGCCCAAACAGCTTTTGTTCGGCCGTATCGAGGGGACTAAACAGGCGCGAGTGATGTGGTACAGGAGGACGTGGAGCTGAGTGGACTTGCCGATGACTGGTACCAGCGGTGTCAAGATCGGCCTCTGTGGAGGAGGCTCGTGAAGGACGCTACTGGGCAGTTGGAGGTAGTCGCCCTCCAACAACAACGGAGGGCGGAGGAGCGACGCTCACAACAACGAGCGGAGCGCCAGGTGGCTATAGCACAGCAGGTTGGCACAGTAGGGGGCACAGGTGGTGCATTAGCCAGTCATCTCAGTCAGTCGACCCGTGGCACTTGGGTCTGCCCCGTGACCTCCTGCCCGCGGACGTTCGACACTTCCTGGCCTCAAGGTGCACATGGCCTGGCACAAGCGTCGTGGTGACGTCACCGCCACTTAGTGGCGAATGGCGGTTGTTGTTGTGTGGTGTGTCTGTCATGTGTGTGTAGTGTGTAAGTGTGTCAGTGTGTGTTGTGTGTGTTGTGTGTGTGGTGTGTGTCAAGTATGTGGTGTGTATGTATCGTGTGTGGTGTTTTAGTGTGAAGTGTGTGGTGTGTAAGTGTCGTGTGTGTGAGTGTCGTGTGTCTGGGTGTGTGCGCAATGTGTGAGTGGGGAGCGGTGGTGTAGCGGTTAGCGCGCTGCGCTACGAACCAGGTGACCCGAGTTCGATTCCCGCTCACGGCCAACACCACCGGTGACGATTATTTTGAACCGATCATGGGCCTCCCCTAGGTCAACTCAGCCTCAAATGAGTACCTAGTGCGGTGTGATAAAACATCGCCACTAGGGAGACAAAGGCGGCCGGGCATGGTGCTGGCCACCCACCCCCTCATGTGCCGTGCCGGCCTTCGTAGATGCTCGCTAACAGCACTTGCCCCAACAGTTTGTTGAGGCTACACGGGGGATCTTTGGCTCTGTGCGAGTTGAGGGCTCCGCATCCAGCAACCGCAGCCTTTCCCCCCCACCCACCTACTGGCACCTACTGATCTACACGGTCATACAACACGCACATACTGCAGCTTGTATTTG